ATCCCCCGATTTCCCCGCAAGAATCAATGGGAAGTAGGCGGATTTTACTTGAAGTATTGGCAAGGCTGCGAAAAATATTCTCTTTCAGTTCTCGGCGCTCGGCCAAAACTCTCCGCGACCCCGGAATTCGGCGCGTTTCGCCACCCAGTAAGTTCGCGCGCAATGTGCGTAATTTCGCGGGTGTTTCCAGGCTCTTTCGCGACGCAGCGGATCGCGGTTTTAGTCTAAAATTCGGTTCTAAAACCGGGTTTCAATTCCGTGCTCCCCCGCGCTGGTTCTAAGTCATTGCGTCATCGAATCTTAATTTTCCCGCCAAAAAAAATCTCCGTCAGCGTGCATTCTGATCTTCGTTAGTGCGACTGACTAAAATGAAGGATTCATCGGGTTTTTCCTGCTAAAAAATTCAACCTTTTTGGTCCTCTAGTCCTCTTACCTAAGAATACGAATTGCTGCCGGAGTGATTTTACAAGCCAATGATAGTGGTTAAACGAAGCAGTACCGAACATTATTGGTTTGTGAAAATTTCTGCCGTCTTTTGAGAGATGCTGAATAATTAAATTGAGCCTGTCAGTCGTTTTTTCTTTTGTTACAATGCGATGTGATTGACCCGAATGAGACGTGACGCTAAAACGGTTTATTCGAATGAGTTTGAGTCCCATCAAATCTAGATTTTACAAAGCGAGAAATCGCCTAGAAATCTAGGAATCGCAAAGTAAGATTGATATCGCACGACTTGAAGAAGATTTTAGGGGGTTGCGTCACAACATCCTCACAGACCTAAGTCCCTGTCACCTGAGTCCGTATGCCTAGCTTCTATGCGTCGATTGTTTGCAACGTTAAACTTTTCCTGCCGAAAAAGATCGGTCAGCGAAACCCTGTCGGAGCTTTGCGTAGAAGTCTGATTCGGTCCCGGAAAAACCTGGAGCCGGAAAGTCCGGCTGACGCTCAGGTAGATTCCACATTTTCTATTTGTTGTCAGTAAGCTTTAATCGTCAAATTGAATTATGTTTTCTTCCTCTTAGGGTTGCCACAGTCACAGAATAACGTAAAATGTTAGGGATTTTCAAAGCGTGAGGGACACCTGGAAATGTCAGGAAAATAACGAAAATGTCAGGGAAAAACTGCTTAGTCACCTTTATTGGTTTTCTAGTGTTCTAGTGTCCTTCTTCTGAGTTTGACGTTTCGAACGACGAATTTTGCCGAAAAACTAATTCTAACCATGTCTTTTTAACCATATGACATATCTTCAACTGTCAGGGAATGGAGATGTTGCATGTGTGAGGAATTTGCGATTTGACTGTGGATTCTTACGTAAAAGTTCGCGAGAAACACGATGGTACCACTGGTTTTCTAATCATCTTCCAAGCTCAAGAAAAGCTCTCAAGTTGAGGCCAAAATGGAAGGGATATCCCACGCTATCCTGAGAGTCCACCTCTACATCAAGACAAACTCTCCATGCAAAGATAGGGAGCAAATACGTTAGCAGGATCGCCGTGTTTTCAGTTGTAGAGTCCCCAAATAAAGTGGCAGCCCTATCAATGTATTTGCTCCCTATCTTTGCATGTAGAGCTTGTCTTGATGTAGAGGTGGACTCACAGGATAGCGTTGGATATCCCCTCCATTTTGGCCTCAACTTGAGAGCTTTTTTTGAGCTTGGGAGTTGATTTCAGAGAAAACCAGTGGCACCATCGTGTTTCTCGCGAACTTTTACATAAGAATCAACAGTCAAATCACAAATTCCTCACACATGCAACATCTCCATTTCAATGTCTTTTTAACCATTTCGCATATCTTCAACTGTCAGGGAATTTCATTTTCTAGATTCGGCGGCAACCCTGTCTTGTTTCCTGTAACCAAACCCAAAATGCTCTGCGTTAAAGCCGTAGGCGTAGGGTTTGCAACGAAGGTTCGAAACTTCGCAGCTCGCCTCCTTCCTCAACTATAAAATGGCTTTTTCCGCTTTGGACTCTCCGGAGCTATGACCGCACGAAAAATTAATTTTTCGCCACGAGCGCACACTTCCGGCGTAACTAACTACTTCCCGTTGTAAATTCTTCCGCCGAAAGAGGTTTTCTCCCGTGGCGTGGCGTGCTGTGCGATATATCGATTGATCTGCCGTTTTAACCTATGTAAAAGGATCGATAGACAGGGTGTTTGCAGTCAACACCTTAATAATCGATTCTTTAACGTAGCTTCGAATGGCGAGATATCGATAATCGATCATTCACGGCTCGCCTCTAGTTTTCTCGTCCAGCCTCACTGTCCACTCCTCGTGGACCTGTTGCTATTTCGTCAACTCATTGAAATCAAGTTTCCAGCCACGTTTTCTTCGGTTTATTCGGAACTCTGCTCTGACCCCGATCGCACAGTGGGTAAAAAGTGGATTTTCGTGTTTCAAATCGATGGTCGGAGTGCGAAACCACGCATCTCCGTTGCGGTGTTTCAAAATTTTATGTTATTTTCGCGGAGAGACTCAAGCCAACTTTAAAGCTTGAAATTGATGCAGAATATTCTGCTAACAGGGAAGAAAAATCTAAGGAGTTTTGAAGTTATAGCGTTGACTAGATTTAGATAAAATTGGCCCAGTGGCATGGCGTACTGTGCGATGTATCGATTGATCTGTGATTTAAACCTATGGGAAAGGATCGATAAACAGGGTGTTCGCAAGGAAAGAACACCTTTATAATCGATTCTTTACCATAGCCTCAAATGAGGAATTATCGATAGGTAAATCGATCTTTCACGCCTCGCCTCTGGATGATGGAACTGGCCGCATGAAGTAAGAAAAATTATTTGAAAATTTTGGTCGAGTCGCTGTACTCCTGATCGCATGTTGAAAGTCGCAGTCACACGGTGAATCGAGTCAATGGGAGAGGTCGGTCTTTGGAAAATTTAAAAGCCCATAATTCCATTCATACGAAACTTAAAGATTTTAAAAGTGGTTCCTTTGATTCTATCGTGTAACTATCCCCAAGAAACTCCCTCTAAAATTTAAAATGTGACGAATTAAACATAACAATTTGTAGTTTTAGTCGAAAATGGCATGTCCGACCTCTCTGATTGACTCGATCCCCTGTGAGTCGTGAGGGTCGGAATGATTTCTAAGAAGCGCCCAAGTTGCAGGCATATTCACCTCAACAAGCGATCACTGTGCGCCGATTGAAAGTTTAAGAGCTTTGCCGCCGGACGGCTGTCCATTATCAGCGAGTCTTTTTTTCTCATCTGGTTATTTTTCTTCGTCCATTTTCGATGAGTTTTTTCTGACGCTTGTTTTGAGGTCTCCTTCGATGGTTTTTTCCCCTCTCATCGGTGTCTTATTGGGAGGATTTTTGTTGAGGCCCGCTGAACGGAATCTCCCCTCCCCCCAAACCATTGAATGGAAAATGCCACCTCAAACGACAAATCTTTATCTTAGGGGTTTTTTTTGAAGATTTTTTTTCGGCCGAATCGATTCTTCGCCTCTGAACTGAGTTGGGCGCTCTTTCTTCTAGTCTTTTTTAAATTTCGTTGTCCCCCGAACGAAGGAACGTCACTCCAAGGTTGCAAAATTGACGCAAACAATTCAATTTCTTACAAAGATGTACCTGTGCAATTTTTGTCCAAAATTGTCCAACGAACACCTTCGTAATCGATTCTTTACCATGGATTCAAATTCACACCTCGCCACTGTTCACAAGCGATTTGTGGAAGGAAAGGCAGATTTTTCAACAGTTATTTCTACCATTTTCTCCCAGTTGCAATGTAAAGTAAAATTTTGCTGCTGAATTTAGCAACGGTGCGCGGAACTTTTAACTAGAAACGACTCGAAGCCACTTTAAGAGTTACTTCTGTGTCTGGCGGCGTGGGCTTCTGACCTCACAATCAGTCCAACTGCGTATTATGTTATACTCGTGTTTGTCAACAAACAATTAGAAACCAGTGCCTCTATTCGACTTTTTTCTAACCCCCCCCTCTCTTCCCCCCTTTTCGCCCCCACAAGTGGATGTATCGACTCCCCCTCACTCCAATTGGAGTATCTCAAAGTTGTCTTACCCACTCACATCTCCAAAGTATTTACGAGACTTAGGTAAAACCTGGTACCTAACTAAGGAAAATCTTCGAAAAAAATTTCTTAAGATTGTATGAAAATTTCCCGCAAAATACTGGTATTCTGAAGCTGGGAGCTTTATTAGGATTTACTTTGAAAAAGTAAGAATCCGAGGACAAAATAAAACTCATTCGCAATTTATTTAATATGTATTTTTTCCCTCGCTCGATTAGTTCTTCCTTCATCATTTCTTTCCTTGTGTCCTCTTCTTTCTTGCACTATTTAATTCTTTTCCTGTCCCTTGCACTTCCGTTTGTGATGGAACTAATTATCGCGCGCACAACAACTGTCTTAATGTTTGCACCTTCCTGTTCAATAATTTTCACACCCATAGCTTTAGCTCTTTTAAAATAAATGATAATGCCCCAACTTTTACTTTTTTATTTGTTTGTGGCGGATTAGGGAAAGCAGATAAGCGCTCTCTTGAAAGAGCCTAAGCGACCTCAGGTCTCTCTCCGTAGGGGCGGTCCTATTAGAATATTTGAGAGGCTTGGAGGTCAAGGCGCATAAGTGCAGCTTGCTTTTTTCGAGAAATGCGTGTTTGAAGTTTCGAAATTACATTGAACCTCATGGCGGAAAAAAAGTTCAAACTGACGTTTTGATGCTTAAAAATTGGAATTTGGGAGTAAGTTCTACACAGAATGTGCATTAAGACTCCTTCTTCTTGAAATCATAAATATCTCAATTTTGTCAAAAACTGCACTAATGCGCATTGTTCTTCAAGCCCCTCAATTGCTTCTTTAGATTTTGCTTAGAGTCTGTTGAGAATCCTGTAGTTAACCCAATGGCCAGACGCACTCCTCTTTATTTTTTGTAATTGAATTATTTTTATCCTGGATGCTATCCGTGTTCGAGTTAGTATTGGTCAATGATTTTTGAAACGACTGACTAAGTCTGTTCCTCTGTTTTCCAGGTTCTGTCTATGACAGACGAGTTAAGGCGAGCTCTCTACGCAAACAGTGCTGGCTCTCTGGATCTCGATACACCACCAGATCTAATCGGAGTCACTGAAATCCTTTCAGAAGAACACAGGAAACAATTATGCAGGCACCTACCTGCCAGAGCAGAAGGTGAGACCAACTATTATTGTTATAGACTTATTTAGTTCATTCTCGTTGATTGTAGGAATTGAATCCCTACGTGTGAGAGTGTTTGCTGAACTTATATGTGTTTAGATTGAAATACGAAAGGAGATAAATACTAATTTTTCATGAAGAATGGGTCTGCCTATTAGTAGCATGCCATATTTCTTCTACAATCATTTCATAGTTTCTTCTTCAGAATTTTCTTTGACCTAAAAAATGTGATACATTAAGCCGGCTGCCAATGAGTCCGCCGTATCTTTCATCGGTTGTTGACAAAATTTTTCGAAATTATCTTAATGCATACTTTAAAATTTTCAAAAATAGATATTTTACTGTATTTCAGGTAAATTATATAGTGGCCTCAAATTTGTGAAAAAAATATGTTTTTGCCGTATTGGGGGGAATATTGGAACCATCATAAATAAAAATGAAGTTGAGTTGAAATACACGGATCTCCTTAAAAGCAACTGGACTTGTCAAGATTGTCTTACTTCAAACTAATGATTTCATTTTTTTTTGCCCCTCCAGGTTACATGTGGACACTAGTTTTTAGCACATCTCAGCATGGGTTCTCTCTTAATTCAATGTACAGAAAAATGAGTAGGATAGAATCACCAATACTACTAGTAATTCAAGACACTGAGGGAAATGTAAGTATCGATCTCTTCAAGCATCTTCTTCTTTCGAATACATTTTTTCAAATGGTGAACATGCGTTCATTGTGGCATGTCGCACTTGTGTCAGTTTTCCCAGAACCCTCAAAGTCCTTTACTAACTGAAAGGAATCAGCAAGTAAGATCTGTTTCAAAAAAAGATACTCTTGCTCCTAATCTAAAATGTTTGTGGAAGATAAATACATTTCAACTGTAGCTAGCAAAAATTGGAACCCTAAAACACTCTATGTGCAAAACATGCTTTCTAAACTCCGAATTCTTAACTACCATAATTCCTTACTGGATTAGTATTTGTGATTTTAATACATATCCATTATTGAATGATTTTTCTTTGAAGTTACTTCAAACTGATTCCACTATATTATAAATTGTGAGTTAAATGCTGCAGCCTTGAAGAAGTGTTTGATTTTCAAAATTTTCAAGACTTTAAAAATGCTTTATTTTTTGGAAAGGCCTTGAGAAGTACTTAAATTTTACCCTTCATCAGTTGTCAGCAATGAATGTCAGCCATTAAGAATCAACAGAAATAATGGATCCTGCTAGATTGGCGACCAACCAAAAATTGGCAAGGGCTACATCCCAGTTTTTCTAACGACAGAGACAGTAGTCCTCTTCTTCTGAGGGCCCAACTTTACAAAGCTTACCATGTCAGTAAACTTAGAAAGAAAAGGAACTGACAAAGTTCTCATCATTGAAAATTACATTATGAGGAGAAAAAAATTCGAGTAGGATAAAATAAAAAAATGGTCTTGAAACTTACATAAAAATTCGTCAAAAAGTACTTGATTTTTTATTTTTTTGGCTGCATGAATCGTGTAGTTGTACTAAAAAGTTTGATTTGTAACATGTCTATTTCAGGTGTTCGGTGCCCTTACGTCTTGCGCTCTAAAAGTTAGTGATCACTTCTACGGGACTGGAGAGTCCTTACTCTTTACTTTCTGTCCTGAATTTCAAGTTTTCAACTGGACTGGTGATAACATGTACTTTATCAAAGGCAACAATGAAAGTCTAGCAATAGGAGCTGGAGAGTAAGAATTTCATTTTTTTTTAGTTCGTCTTTAAGTTTTATTTAGTAAATCTGCAGCCGCTGATGACTTTATCCGAATTTTGAAACTTTATGTTTTTGTCACATTAAGACAACTTCTGATATGTTCCTTATCCCCACATTAACAACTTGACTGGAAGGATCTCTGCATGAAAAACCAACATAGTCAAAGCACTTCTTTGTGTTTCATTGTATGAGAGCTGTTTTCCCCCGAAAAAAAGAAGAAAAAAAAGACAGAATTCCTTTGTGATCTGACTACAGTTTGTTTACTGCACGTTTCATATGCATAGTTTTCACTCTTATTTAACTGTAATTTATTTTTTAACCTTTAGTGATTTTCAAAGGTAAGCGAACAAAGATCCTTGTTTGACGGAATTTTAAGTGAGACCTCTTCAATCGCTTTAAGTGAGATTTCTGTGCACAATCGAGCCTGTAAATGTCATATATTGATTGTGCTATTTGCAGTTTGATTATCTTGTTATGATTCAAAGGTGCGCCAAGTGGGCAGTTTTGTAGCTTGCACATTACTATAGAGGTAGATGAGGATATAATTACCAGGGAATGGACTTATTCATGACCTAATTTGAATGTGATTTTTTGTTACAGTGGTAAATTTGGTCTCTGGCTTGACGGTGATCTATACCAAGGAAGGACAGAACCCTGCAATACTTATGGAAATGAACCCCTCTCGCCTCAGCAAGATTTTGTCGTGAAAACTTTAGAATGCTGGGCGTTCGTCTAATGAATCACTCCTATGGACAAAATCCGTTTACTCTACCTGTATTTAGGTTTTTATCATTGTTTTAAAAGTGTATTTGCTAGATCTTAATCTCATTTTGTGTTAAAAGTCAATCCTTTTTCAAGTCTCGCTAGTTTTATTAATTTATTTATTTCTCCCCCTCCCTCAATTTTGTTTAGTTTCAAACCAAATACTAATTTATTTCCCCTTCCTTTTCTATGAATGTATCAAAGCTTTTCTCCTACCCCCACCAGTATCATGAGTGTATAGGTTCAATGTAAATACATTCATTTATGAGTTTACGCTGCATATTTTTATATGTTTGTAAGCATATGCATCCGTAAATATGTTTACCTGCGCATTTTTTCTCCGCTCCTGCATTCTAAGTTTTGTTTACTGCATCGTCTCCGTTTTAGCGAATAACAATACCTGCACAAGTTCAAAACCAGGAGGGGATTAGATTTTTATTGGTGCGCTCCACTGAGTGTTGTGCATCGGCAAAGTGAGCGTTGTATAGTTAATTATTTGAGATATTTTTATTACTGTGTTATTAGTTTATTTATTTTGAGTTTTATCATTTTTTTTCTCTCTAATTTTTTACTTGCGTCAGCTTCTTTGTTCTTGTGTTTTTTTTTATTTATTTTTTCTTTGTGTGCGTGTTGTTATGAAGGAGCAAGAGGAATTGAGGGGTTTGTATTTTGCATCTAAATTGTTTATTATTCGGTTCAAGCTTGTATTGTGATACGTCATCTTTATACATTTTAATTTTTGGCTCAAATTCTACCAAAATTCTGTTTGATGCATTTAATATTGAACTGAAATGATAAAATTCTGTCTGATGGGAGAATACACCACTAAATCTCAGAATAAACTGTAATATCTAAGTCCCATATTTTTCTCTATGATATTTCAGTCTAATTTTAAACAGGAAGCCTGATGCAGTGTACACACTTACATTCCTCTTGCAAGTTCAACTTTTTGGTTTTAGTGAACTTTATTGTATTTTGATGTTAATTTTTTCAGTCGTATATCCTCAAGACTCCTGCATTCATTTTACTCCAAGTTTTGCTCTGAAGGGAGTGAGAATTAGGTCCTTGTCTAAGAATTTATGAGAACATCATTAGAATACAATCGAACGGCGCTAGTTTCATTAGATTTTAACCAAATAATCGCTATTGTAACTTTAATAATACGTAAATAGTACAATACTAATAGTAGAGATTGATGTGTAATCATTATTTTCTATTATTATGGTCCAGCCACACCTCTATTTCATTGTTTTTTTCCTGTTATTCTTTCTGCTACAAATGTAAGTGGGATTGCAAATTTATGTAGTATCGCAATTTTATCTAATAGTTTGCCCGTATAGACATTTAATTTTTCTTTGGCAAATTCTCAACTGCAAATTACAACCAGGAGTTTTTTCCATCATCTCTTTTTCTTCGCCCTCTCTTCTTTTGTTTTTTCGGAACCTGGCATTTTTTCTTGATTCATTTGCGATTTTATCTGAGCACTACACAGTCATATTTACTGAGACCTGTAGGACTAAATAGAATTCAGCCTAAAATAGGAAGTATAAGCTTTAAGTGATGAGGCTTCACAGTCGATTTACTCGTGGAGATCCTTGTTTTATTTGCCGCAAATTTATTTTTTTGAGAAACAAGAAATCAGGAAGCAAAAAACGTTGTTATTGTCAAAGTTTCATTGTTTATTTTTTTATTACTTAGTTGATTATTGAAGCATTTTAAATTGAGTAAGCTGTGCAGCTTGTATATCAGTTCCCGTTTGAAATAACGCATCGTTTTTATGTATATAGTGATTAGTCTATGTTACTGCCGTGTTCAGCTGTTCCCTCTATTCCTGTGTGCAGAAACTATTCGTATGAAGCAAGTAGAAAACTCAATCCCCCTAGCTGTTTGTGTTTAGATTCATTTACACATCCTTTTTTTTTTTAATTTTATAAAAAGTTGACTTTAAAATATTGATGGCAAAGGAACAAGAACTAAAATTATCACAATTTCGTGCTGTTCAAATTCTGTATTTTTTTATGCTGTTCTGAAGATTTTCTGATATTGATAAGCTACTCATGTGCCTCTTTCAAGTAATATTGGCACAGGCATGTAAACATCTGAGCATTTTGCCTTACTTACGCATTTCTGCAATTAAGAGCGCAGTGCCACTGCTGTACCCTCTAATATCAGTCGAGATGACTCTTTCTCCTCCCAATTAGCTCAACAGTCCACTTTGGCTTTGCTTATCAGAGTTTATTCTCCAATATTTCTATGGAGATATCACTATCATCCGTCAAAGTTGCTTAGTTTTTATTTGCTAACAGATATTGATAAGCTACTCATGTGCCTCTTTCAAGTAATATTGGCACAGGCATGTAAACATCTGAGCATTTTGCCTTACTTACGCATTTCTGCAATTAAGAGCGCAGTGCCACTGCTGTACCCTCTAATATCAGTCGAGATGACTCTTTCTCCTCCCAATTAGCTCAACAGTCCACTTTGGCTTTGCTTATCAGAGTTTATTCTCCAATATTTCTATGGAGATATCACTATCATCCGTCAAAGTTGCTTAGTTTTTATTTGCTAACACAGAAAAAGTGCTCAATTTCTCATATGTAGCACTAAATTTTGCAACAACTGCTTTGTGGGGAGATTTTCTTTTTAAATGGTCATCTTTGTAGTATTCATCAAAATAACAGAATTTAACCAGCATGAAATTCAAGCGTCATATCAATGGCTTAAATTTTCGACAGAAATACATAAATCTGTAATATTGATTTTGAAGGATAGATTTTTAGACCTCAGCCATGGGCATCCTTCGATCTGACAGGCATAGATGCCTTCAAAACCGATTGCTAACTATCCCGATGACTTTTTATTTCGTGTTTTATTGCTCCCGTACTAGCGTAGTGCTTTAATCTCTCTGGCGTTATCGCTGCAATTTCATTTTGTGAGAAAATTATACGTTGCTTTGATTAGATACAATTATGTTGAGATTTGCAACTCAATTTTTGTAGGGTGAAGCTCAATTTTGGTCGCTGTGTTCAAACAGCCAAGCGCTATCTTTTTCACCCGTTTCATCTTTCGAAAGTAGCCTTACCCTTAGTAACCTTGCCCAATTATGATGTCAATTAATTTGTATTCTTCGAAAGGTAAAGACCCTATTTGGTCTGAATTAAATCGATGTTGAGTCAAGCGAGCTGGATATTTTAAGAGATTTTTAACATTTTTTACCAATGATCTTCGCTCCAGAGTTACACCTTTTAAAATTCTTTACGAGACGTTTTTGCATAGAGCAGTGACTAAGTGTGGATTATTTTGTAGGAAACAGTTTCTATACTGGATGAAAACTGAGGAAAAGATCAAGTTGATTTATCTGCAGTTTGTATTAAGGAAAGTCTTTTCAAAAGTTAACATGAGTTAACATGCCATCGAAACTTGATACAAGTGACACTTTGTTTGAATGCCCATCTCTCGTAGAACACTACTTATTAACAGCTCTGATCTTTAGAATGAGTCCAGAACCTTCCTTCAGAGAATCCATTTTGCAATAAAATTCCAATGACAAAAAATCAACAAGTAAATGATGTACGTAGGAGCCCAAATGCAATATGAATGGTCTAAGCGTAATGGTTGACAAGGCAAGCAAATAGATTGGTAAAAGTTCAAGGCAGGCATTCTACGTTTCCCATTTAAAAGTGTGTTTCAGTGCAAGAATTTTATGCTCAACATTGAAGCATTTTTCTTTTAAATCTTTAGAGTCTGACATATTTTATAAAGTCTCTTTTCTTTAAAAACCCTACATTTAGCACTTTTTGTTCATCCCTCTAGTATCCCATTCAGCGAAGAGTAGTGTGTTTTTTTCATACATATTGAAACGAATTCAAAGTTAAACAATGTATATAATCGTTTTCATCCCTGGGAATCAACACCCTTAAATGAAGCTGCATTTGTAGCCTAGGTCTTTTTACATCACCCAATTCATAGTAAGCTCATTGTCGGGGAACTCACTTGTTGTTTCCATGTCCGCAGCAGGAAGTAATTAATGTCGCGTTACTGATACCTACTCTACATAATCCTCCTGTAAATTTGGAGCTGTCGTTTAAGCTGGCAGCCTTTAGATCACTTTCGATAATATCTTAGTCTCACCAAGAAGAATAATGTAGCGTAAATGTGTATTTGTCTATCAGTAATCCAGTACCTTTAAGAAGGAGCATCGACTCATTTTCAAGAAGCGTACTCTTCCCTTGGCGTAGTTTCCTGTCTCCGCTCAAAACTCACAATCGAATTGTAGTCAAAGAGCAAGTTCATCTCTTTGGAAGTGCTCCCCTTATTTTTATAAACTGTATCAAAACGATAGTAACTTTTTCTTGCTTTTGATAATTTAGTCTAACGTACATCCTGAGCAAAGGAGACTTCTTACTCAATAATTATGCTGCAAGATTCCTCTGTTTCTAGACAGGATGAGTAATGTTCATCAGAACCGTTTTTTTTAAAAAAAAAAGATAAATCGCTTGTACCATTCTTGCGTTTCCAGTTACCAGCATTTCTACCCTCTTTCCATCAGTAGTGCAGAAATTCCATCATGGCGATTAGATTTTTGAACAGATTTATCTTGCAATGAAGAATTAGAGATGTAGTATATAACCAATGTACAATAATGATTAAAGATGCAAATATTTTACTTAAGATGTTACTGTTGTTGTTATTTTTCAGTTTTCAAATTCATTTTAATTCTCTAAGTTTTGCAATCATCTCAAATCAAACCTATTTTCTGCCAGTCATCAGAATGAAGAAAAACTTTAAGTAGTTTTTCGATAATTTTGGGGCCAGTGTTCGTCGAAATGAGTCAATCATTTTTTTAATCCCTTTATTCCGCATCAGATTTTTAAAATATTCGATAGTGCAATTCGAAAGTGTACATCTTTTGAATTTCGGGAATATGTTGGTTGATGTATTAATGTATGAGCTAATTCTGGGCGAATCATATTTGTACGATCCACCCCAGCTGGTATCTTAAAATCTATTTAATTGAACTTCACCAAGCAAACAGGATGTTTTTATATATGCTTCATTTCTTCGTTTCTAAGATAAAAGCAGTCCAGCAAGTAGTATGAATTAAACAACAGCACACGTCATTCAAATATATTTCGCATGCATGGAGCTATTAGCTATCAATGAAATTCCATGTACTCGTTGTACTTTTCAGTAGATCAGTAGATCTTTACTACCAGGATACTCTTAGCGCAAAAGCACTGTATGAACTCAACAATGTTTCGAGCTTAGCCCAAATTTTAAGGGGTGGATCCAATGTAATTACAAAATGAATCTGAAAGTGGTTGCACTACTTGCCGATTAAGTTGATTTTTGAAAGGATTTTATTTTTTTAAGAAAAATATTTATGTTACTGATTGTAAATATCTTATGGAGGAAGCGTTATGAGCTCATCAATCCTTAGCCCTGTTCTATGATTAACCCATTACCCACCCACTTCTGACCAATCCAGCTTTTTCTGACAAGAGTCCCTCAATTTCCCTTGACAACTGTCTTTTCTCGCTTTTTATTATTTATTATATACTTTGTTTTGTTTTTTTAAGCATTCATCCTGTATCAGAGAAAATCATTTGTTGAACAGAAAATTGGACTTTTATTAGCCAATGAGATTTATCTACCATGATGGTTTTGTTAGAAAACGTAACTACACCCAATCTTTCTATGGCAGATACGTGTCTTTTCAAAACTGAAATTGAAGACAGATCTTTTGTGGTTACTGATGTCCAATTTTCCTCTTCCACGGAGGGCTTTACAGTGGTTTTAATAATGCTTTCCTCACAATGAATTTTCAACTCTTTTCAACACTTGAAGACTTTTTAAAATTTCTAGTTTTCTACAGAACCATTGTTGACAACTTTGGATTGAATCACTTCGATCTGTAAATGACTTTTTCTTCATGAACCTCTCTCACTTTTGCTGTCTTCGTTTGGATCTTTCTCGGAAGTCTTCATGATGCGTCTTTATTGTACTTATTCTGTAATAAAATGTGTCATGAACGCCTCCAGACAACATGGCTTGCTTTCAAAAGAGTTCTGATCTAAATTTGAAATTTTTAATTTCGGAGAAACATTTGAAAAATTATTTATTTGAATTTTCAAATGACGGTAAGAATAAATCAAAGAGAGAGAGACTTTTTTTCCCTTTTTTTTCTATTACTTTTATAAATGAAACCAATCTTTTGTCTACTGAGAAAATTCTCCTTACTGTCCCAGTTTTTTAACTACAAACCACATTACCTCAAGACATTAATTTCTTACCACTCCTTTTACACCAGTCGCTCCTCAACGTCTCTTCATCCTACTCATTTTGAATTTAATTTCTGCATACCCTGTAATTTAGAATTTTTTTTATCAGTATTAATAATATTAACAATTAAATTCATCGTAACAGTTTCTTTGAAATACTCAATTTATTAAGTTTGTTACTAGATGTAGGTATATCTATGTATAGCGATATCAATTTTGTCTGGCTAGTGAAACTTTGTAGTTCTGTCAAATAAATGGAGTAACAAAGTTGTTACTTTGCTATTCACAGGGGGGAAAAATGTACTGTCTCAGATTTTAGCTGCTTAGCAGATTCTTGGTTGTATCTCCTTGATCAATGCAGTTCGGCAATTTTAGTGAGAAATTTTCTGTTCCTCATTGTTCCACCCTTTGTCAGAGAGGATCAGTATTAAAGGATTTTAGCCTATTTGGGTTTCTTCAGAACACTAGAAATCTTCAAGAATACACTAGAGATATGTTTTCGTAATTTTTGAGAGAGATCTTTAAATGCAGCAGCTCTATATTCATTGGTCTTTTAAGTTGTTAATTTTTCATTTCACTGCCTTAAATGAAAAAGCAATTTAAGTGGAAGAGTGAGGATTTCAGCATTAGCACTTCAACTAACAAAATGTAGAAGTGTAATCAGATGCTCTTGAGGGCATCTTCATAAATTGCTGCTTTTTTATGCATTCTTGGGTGGTGACCTGGAATTGGTATGTTTCCACAAAAATTCGTACTTCTGTAACAACTAAATAATCAATGAAAAAAAAATCATGTTAAGGAATTGATCACTGAAATGAAAGAGAGGAAGAATGGTGGGAAGCGCAAATGTTCAACATGTGTGCCTGATGCGAAATGTTAAACAAAACCAAAGGTTTTAATTTTCATTCCAATTTTTATCTGATTAATTTTGTCCCCGATTTTCAATTTGAACGCTCACCAGAATGATTGGGACTTTATGAACTTCGCAAATCCTCGGCAAATTCCTTTAATACTGAACGATGTTCTAGTGATGCTGTACAACCAGAATCTAGCCAGATGAATTTTTGATATGATCCCCGCTTTCAACCAATTTTAGTTTGATGTAAGTATTAAGAAAAGTTTGAAACAAGTGAGTTAATACGTTTTACTCGGCCAAAACACTCAAACGAAACTTTGAAAGAGAAAAATTACCTATGTCAATTGATATTTTGTAGTTTGCTGTACCTAGTATTGTAATTAAGTTGTACATGTTTCTACTATTTTATTATCTCAAAAAATAAAAACTATGTATTTATGGTCAATCCAATGAAAAACCTGAATTCTCATTTCTCTCCCATAACCTTTCATTCATAGAATTTCATGAAAGATTTCAACTGGTTCCTCTGTATCAAAAAATAAAGACGTAAACTTAAAATCTGCAAAACTTTACGTTCATCAAGAACTGAATTTCACAATATTCTCAATTTTTATGGATCAAATTTTACGTTTATTAAACCTTAAGATACTTTTAAAGTCCTCCCTAAGTTTTGGATCATCTTTTGCACCCACACAGGCCCAAAGGGTCAAGGTGGACTTAGACTCACAATCAATCAGAAAACTTTCGAATTCGACCTTCAAAAATTAGGATCGTGGACTAGCGTTTGAGGGTCAAAATCGAAATTTTGCCGATTCACCAGAAACCATGCTAGTCCCCTGAGAATCGATACGCTGAGTCCGAATTTTCGATTTGTGAAGCTCCACGGATCTGCGGGAGCACGTCAGCGGCGGAAAACGCGCACCCATAGGTTTTTCTAAAACGGTCAAAAAAGCTCGTTTTTGACCCATTCTCGGCTCAGGGAGCCTAAGGACGAGCGCAATCGATTCCACGCCTCGTGAAAAATTGACAGGAATGACCAATGCCGCCCGCTATGGGGAAATCATGCCTTTGCATCATCGTTCCCGTAACCACCCAGCCTCAATGCCTTCCGCCCATTGAGGCTGAGTGTTTTCCGATTCCAGAAAAACGGTATTTCTGTGGCATGGTAAGTGGGGGATTTCTCCGACGTGTCTTTGACCATCCCCATGTAACCTTTGCCGATTTATCTCGATCTTGGCCAGGAGAAACATTTTCAGGATTAGTGTCGAATCCTACGTACTTTGAGGCGTAGAATCTATTTTGCATGGTCCCGAGGCTCGGCAAAGCTCTCTGAGCCGAGGAACGCTGAAGAACGAGTGTTTTTGAAAGTTGGTGGAGTTCATCAAGTGCGCGTTTTCCGCCGCTCGCTTGGTTCAACGGACTCTTGAAGCTGTTTGGACCTAAAAATCAAACTCAGTGGATCGTTTTCATGAGGTCTAGGTCAAAGAAAAACAAATTACTAAACACATATTATACTTTCCTTTAATACATCTTTTTTTCCATCAATTCAAGTGAGAATAATCTATGAGTATGCAAACATTTCAAAATCATGGGTTGAAAAATGCTGACTCTGCGAGTTTAAACATTGAGCCTAGCATAGAGCGGAGCAACAGCATGCTACCAGCGCGGAACGCGCACTGGCTTGGCGCCTACAAACCTAAGGGGACACTTCACGCATTGCGCAATGCTTGAAGTATCCCCTTAGGTTTGTAGGCGCCAATGCGCCAGAGTTTTCCGATCCTAGAAAAACGGGCTATCCGCGGCATGGTACCTACGTGGGGGATTTCCCCAACGTGTCTTTGATCACCTCAATGCATGTAACTCCCTGTCGATTTTTCTCGATATTGGCCAGGAGAAAAATTTTCGGGATTATTGTCGAATGTTACGTAGTTAGAGGCGTAGAATCGATTGCGCATGGTCCTAAGGCTCGGCAAAGTTCCCTTAGCCGAGGAACGTTGAAGAACGAGTGTTTTTGAAAGTTTGGTGAGAGTTCATAAAGCGCGCGTTTTCCGCCGCTCGCTTGGCTCAGCGGGCTCGCGGAGCTGTTTGGACCTAAAAATCGAACTCAGCGGGTCATTGTCAAGAGATGTAGGTCAAAGAAAAAAATCTACAAAACACACATTATATTTTCCTTTAATACGTCGTTTTCCCCCCATCAATTTAAGTGAGAATAATCTATGCAGAGTGTGCAAACATTTCAAAATCATGGGCTGAAAAATGCTGACTCTGCGAGTTTAAACATTAGAGCCTATCACAGAGCGGATCAGCATGCTGCCAGCGCGAAACGCGCACTGGCTTGGCGCCTACAAACCTAAGGGGACACTTCACGCATTGAGCAATGCTTGAAGTATCCCCTTAGGTTTGTAGGCGCCAGCGGGCTCGCGGAACTGTTTGGACCTAAAAATCGAACTCAGCTGATCATTTTCAAGAGGTTTAGGTCAAAGGAAAAAAAATTACAAAACACACATTATATTTTCCTTTAATACATCTTTCTTTTCCATCAATTTAAGTGAGAATAATCTATGCAGAGTGTGCAAACATTTCAAAATCATGGGTTGAAAAACGCTGACTCCGCGAGTATGGACATTAGAGCCTAGCACAGAGCGGAGCAGCATGCTGCCAGCGCGAAACGCGCACTGGCTTGGCGCCTACAAACCTAAGAGGACACTTCACGCATTGCGCAATCGGTCCAGCGGGCTTGTTCAGATTTTTGGATCCAAAAATAGAACTCAGCGGATCAGATTCAAAAGGACTACCTTGGTTTCAGCCCGAGCGAAGAACTCTCTATTCTGACCCTAAAAAGTTAGTCCCTATCGATTTTTCTTGATTTTGGCCAGAAAAAAGAATTTCGAGATTCTGTGCATAATATTCCCCTACCTCATGTTTTTTTCTTTTTTTTCTTTTTTTTCTTTTTTTTCCACAGTAAACCATACAACACGCCATAAAAATTTTTATGAACTTTCCCTAGATAACCAAAGAATTCTCCTGAGATGTAATATATATGAAAAACAATAAAAAATTGTCGAAATTAAGCATCAAAATGTAGTAAAGCTAATTCTAGTTCTGTCGTCTAAATCTAATACGAAATGGGAAAAGGGGCATCAGATAACTTTCACAACGCGCTTAGGATGATCAAAAATGTGCTCTTAAGTTAAAATCGTAGATACGAGGTATTTCTGCTATGGATTTCCTCGCTCAGCAATGCTGCCTTTATAAAACGCCTTCAATTTTACGAGTTATGCCATCCGAGCTCTTACGAGTCGGAATAGTGGTATGACCCAGTCAAACCTAAGCAGGTCTTATAGAACGACGAATTCGTTAAACTTTCGGTGACAGAAGTGTATAATATGTCGCAGGAAAATAGTAAAATCAGGCATTTTGTCAAATGCCTAGGCAGTTAGTTAAATGCCTAGGCAGTTAGTTAAATTTTGACGGTTTACAGAATTTTGTGAATTCATAGCGAAGAGCTTATACGAGTTTTCAATATTTTTGGAAAAATAACTCATGAAACCTACGAACTTTTTCTGTCTCTTCCTCTTCAATTGTTTTAAAACGTTGAAATTCCGAAAATTCTGTATTTTATGACTTGCTGAAAATTTCAAGATGAATGGCTGATCAGGAGGTAAAAATCGTTTAAAATACTATTGTTTGATGCAAATTTTTACTGAGAATTTTTTCTCACATGAGCAATGAATTATTTTGTGCAAAATTAGGAAAATAATCAAAATTTCAAACTAAGTTGGAATATTCGACTATTCGCCTAGGCATTTGATAAAATGCCGGATTTTACTATTTGCCTGCGACATATACATTTCATGTTGGTAGCAGTAATTCCTTACTTACTCTTTGTTTTCATGCACCAGTTTGATATTTTTGAATAGGCTATGAAGTCATAAAAAATAACACTGCGACTGAAATCTAAAAGTTGATGACGGCGCAAAGATACAACTATTCGTACCTGATGGATGTCCTCGTTGTATCCGGAAAATTGAAGGCGCGAGGCGTAAACTTGCAATGCTCCGCTCTGCGTTGCCAATAGGGTGCCGCATGGATCGGGGAAAGTTCAGTAAATGTACAATTTGCGAGTGAAACTTTTGCAACGTTGCAATTTAGTCACGTTCTTTTGTACGGCGAGCGACGAGCCAAAAAGGTCATAGTCTCTTTTAGAAGGGACATGTTAATTTAGCGAAAAGGCCCTGAGTGCTCATCGGCAGGAGGGAAAGCATAATTCCTCCTCCTGCCGAATTGACCGAAGCTTATGGAGGTGGACCAGTGGAGCTGATGACGGGATGGGGGTGGGGGTGGGGTTTGCGCGAGGAGGGGTTAAAATTACCGCAGCGAATGAATAAAGGAAGAGCCTCGGGGAGATTTTAAATCATCGGCAAGGGCTTAAATGTCCAGATGCAGTTTTAATGGCCACTGCACAGCACAGGGACAGGCACGGGGGTGGGGGAGGGACGAGTGAGGGTGGGTGGTAGGGGATGTGAGGCGATCCGCTGCGACGGAAGTTCAAGGTCCTCGGGCATATCTGGAGCGTCTCCTTGCGTCGGCAGTCCGGAGCTCCCTGGATTCCAGCGATCTAACAGGTTGCCCTTGCGTTGCCAAATTTTCGCCTCCAAAGTACTCCTGGAAGAGGAAATATATTTTAGGGATCCCGCCCTAGCAATCTGAGTCATATACAGCCGTGCTGAGGAAGAACGCCGCACGGTGGATCGAGTTAATAGGAAAGGTCGGACATGAAATATTTGACTAAAACTGTAAATTTTGATACTCATTTCGTCACATTTTAAAGTTCAAGGTGTGTTTCTTGAAGAATATTTCACGAGAAGACCAATGGAATCCCTTTTTTGAACTTCAAACTTTTGTTTAAACGGATTTATACGCGTTTAAAGTTTCCAAATTTTGTCCGACCTCTCCTATTGACTCGATCCACCGTGCGCCGTATGAATCTTCAGGCGTGCCTAATTTCCTTTGGTAAATTACGAATGTTCGGGAAAATTTGTGAACGTTTTTCCTCCAATTTTTCAGAATGTTCCCAATTTCACCTAAATTTCCTGAAAATTCCAAGGAAAAGTATTCATAGCTTTTTTTTCAAAAATAAACATTGTATCGAAGGCAATTTGGTAAATCTCAAATGTTCATGCGGTGTTCTTCCTTGGCACGGCAGTATAGAGATGGCTAAACTGCAAAAATGCGTATCTCGATTGCGGTGTTTCCAAATCTCTGCTCCTTCTCGAGATAGAACCAACATCATGGCTTGAAATTTTCACAAGATATTCTTCACATGTTGAAGGGAATTCACCGAAGTTTTCAAAAAATGACGTACAGTGGTTTTTCATGTAAAAAAAAAATATGACAGGCAGTATGTCTACAGTTTCACCATGGATATACTGCTGTGCTAAGTAAATACGCCGTATGAGCATTCGAATTTTTCCCAATTTCTACTTTGAAAATATTTATTTTTCAAGAAAGTTATGAACATTTGGACCGACTTTAGCTGAGAAGAACCAAGCCGCACCAGCTACTGCCAAATTGAATCGGGCAATTTCATTTTTTACAGGAGAACGTTTGTGCGGATTCCTTTGAAAATTTTCAGGAATTTGCTTCGTACTATGCAGAAAATTCACTGAAATTTGCACAAAAATCCGCACAACCGTCTTCGTGAAAGAAATTAAATTTGGCAATAGATGAGGTGGCTTGGTTCCTTTCTGCTTAACGCGGTTCGTTTTTCCTTGAAATTTTCAGAATTTTTAGATAAAATTGAGACTGAAATCCTGTAAAAATCGGAGGAAAAATATTCACAAATCCTGAAATTTCATGATCTGTCGAATAGAATTTGGCGACGCCTGATGGCTCATACAGTATTCTAATATAGCATGGCAATATGAACGTATCTATGCTAAAAGGAACTATTTGCATAGGGTTTGCGTGTAACATACTTCCTTTTGCATAAATACGTCCATATAAAAGCGAATTTAATTTGAAGTTCCTCTTTGGGAAGTTCAGCCCCGGTTTGTCTTATGAATCACCGACACGAGTGGGCACCGTTGCCACCAGATTCGACCAATCGGATCCGTTGGTTTTCGATGGATCGAACCTTTTTTGAGAACCATCTCGCGAGGTGGTACCAAAATCACGCACCAACGTTCCGATTCGTCCGTCATTGAATCGGAGGTTCCGAACTCAAATAAAAGCTCAGAGGTTCGGGTGCAGAAGTAGCACCGTACGTCCAAATAAAATTCGCTTTAGTAGAGTGAGGTTGAAGTTAAATTCGGAGGTCAATGCTATTTCTTACACTGAGAAAAAAAAAAACTCCGGCCGTGGGAGCTGCAATTACGGGCTATATAGACATACTGTCCGTTCTGGGCTCAAAGGCCGAAAATTCTGGCTGCTGGAGCCGTAGCTTCGGCCTCTGAACCCGGAGCAATCGAAGCTACGCCTACAGCAGCCGGAATTTTCGGCCTCTGAGCCCGGAACGGATGGTATGTCTATATAGCCCGTAATTGCGGCTCCCACGGCCGGAGTTCTTTTTTCAGTGTACCCAGGGATGGTTGATCAGTGACTTATTGAGCATAAAATTTGCCTATTGATGACTATTGAATATGCCCGGGTGAGCGGTAAGTAAACTGCAATCGATTTCAAAGCAATCCGATGAACACCTGAAAATGGTGCGACCAATCAACTAACAGGAAGGATTAATGTGTGACGAGGAAAATCTGGTGATATGTCCACATGGCTTAAGAATCTTGTTGTACAATTAATCCAATTTTGAGGAATTATAGTTTTGATGACGGAACACCCTTAGCTGACTCAAATAACACTGCACCACTCATTATTGTACAGATTTTGAGGTAATTTGAGCAGTGTAACCTCTCCGTGTCGCAAAAAATAAGCATTACCACTACGCATTCTTGCCACACTGATCTCGAAATTTTTTCTCCTGGCCAAAATCGAGAAAAATCGACAGGGGTTACATGGACTAACTTTTTAAGGTCAAAACCGAAAGTTCTTCGATTGGGCTGAATTCAAGCTGGTCTGTTGTATTCTGTATTCAATAACGTGTAGCATGATTTTTTAACTTCATTAGAGGAAAAAAATGACTCGGTTCGAGCAGAGATATGCTGAACATGCTGAGAGATATGATAAATTTATCGTCGAGAAGATCTATGATGTGAAATAGTTATTTAAGGCGTCTGTCGTGGCACGCTGCGAGATGCGGAACGGCTGGCGGCCGAACAGCGCGAAACGCGCATTGGCGCCTACAAACCTAAGGGGATACTTCAAGCATTGCGCAATGCGTGAAGTGTCCGCTTAGGTTTGTAGGCGCCAAGCCAGTACATATTTCGCGCTGACAGCATTCTGCTCCGCTCTGAGCCAGGCTCTTATGTTTAAACTCGCGGAGTCAGCGTTTTTCAACCCATGATTTTGAAATGTTTGCACACTCTGCATAGTTTATTCTCACTTAAATTGACGCGACTTCAGCATATTTTTCCTTGAAATTTTCAGACATTTTAGATTAAATTGCGTACAAAATCTTCTGAAAATGTTTCGGGAAAATATTTACAATTTTCCTTGTAAATTCGGTTTTTATCGAAGGAGATTCGGCAACGTCTGAAGGCTCACACGGCGTTTTTCCTTAGCACGGCAGCATTGTGGGGAAATTCGGAACGGGAAAGAACGCTGTATAAGCATTCGAGAGTTGCCAAATCTCTCTTCATAAAACTTGTATTTCGGACGCAACTTAAGCATAATTTTCCTTGAAATTTTCAGATATTTTAGATTAAATTGCGTACAAAATCGTCTGACAATGTTTCGGAAAAATATTTACAATTTTCCCTGTACATTCGGTTTTTATGGAAAGGAATTTGGGAACGTCTGAAGGCTCATACGGCGGTTTTCCTTAGCACGACAGCGTTGTACACTGGAAAAAAAACACATTGTATCAAGAGTCCAGACTCTTAAAAACATCGACAAGAAAAAGTACTCTTGATTCAATCAGATTTAAGCTTAAATCAAGAACCAAGCCTCTTAATTTAAGCGGATTCCCTCCTTCTTCAGAACATTAACTTAAATCGGCCTAACTGTGTTTCACGTTACTCTCATGCTTTATTTGTTCACAAGAAAACTAAGTCTCATTATAATTTGATACATTCGATGAATTTCTTCCCGAGTATTAAAGAATGCACTGGAAAAAAACACATTGGATCTAGAGTCCAGACTCTTGAAAACATCGACAAGAAAAAATACTCTTGATTCAATCAGATTTAAGCTTAAATCAAGAACCAAGCCTCTTAATTTGAGCGGATTCCCTTTTGATTTAAGCTTATTGAATCAAGAGTCCTTTTTCTTGTCAATGTTTTCAAGAGTCTGGACTCTAGATCCAATGTGTTTTTTTTTTCCAGTGTGGGGAAATTCGAATGAACATCCCGCAGGAGCGGTGGAAAATCAGGCCTTGTTAAAACAATCAGTACTTAAAAATAACTCCGCCAAGATGCCCGCTTCCGCTGCGTCCTGCGGCCCTCCCCTCGGCGCTTGGCACCTTGACCTAGTGCACGCGGGGTGCTCGGGTCTGCGCGCGCACCTGGAGGGCTCCGAGGCGCGGGGGTTAGATCCCGGCGACTATGATAGGTTAGTAACGCAGCGTCAACGTGCAGGTACGAGCACCCCTGCCGAGCGCTAACGTCAGCTCGTGTATCGCGAGTGCAGAGAGTACGCGTTTCCGTTTCCGGGTAAAAAGTGCGTGCCGATTATGCTCCCGTTTCCTGTTGATGGGTTTCCAGCTGCCTTCCGCGGAACTGCCAAAAATCGGCTGCGTCGTGCGTTTTTCGTTCTGTTCGGATTCCTCTGTGCCTCCAGTTTCTCTGACGCTCGGAATTAGGAGTAAGGTATGCATCCACTCGTATTTTTATGACTCTCCACGGTGGAAGGTATTTTTTCAATGGAGAATTTGCCCACTGAAAAAAAGATCGGTAGAATTTACCATTCTTCCACGCTGTATTTCACACAGCGGAAGGAATGGTAAATTCTACCAATCTTCAAGTCGATTCTGCCAGAGGAATGGTTACTTGTACCAGTATATAGGAACGTTTACCTTTCTTCTGGCAGAATTAACCCTAGATTGACGCTGTGTGAAATACAGCGTGAAGGACTGGTGGATTTTACCAATTTTCTTTCAGTGCAGGTGCATGAATAGAGAATTTGCAGATGTCTGAAATTTGATGGATTTCATGTATAAGTGGAAACTATTGAGTGAACTGAACACGAGGATACCCTTGGCTCATGAGTTTAACAATTATTGGAGAAGATATGACAAATTGATCTAATCTGCCAAAATACCTGTGTTTAAATTGGGAATGCCACCAGATGACGTCACTAGGTGGAGCATTTTTTCAATTTTAAATCTACTTTTATAGATGAAGCAATAAAAAAATGTCATGCAAATTCTCCATTCTACCGTTCTGCGGAAAAAACGCCGCATGAACCTTCTGGCGTTGCCCTTCGATAAAACGCGATTTTCCTGCCAAACTTATGAATATTTTTCTTCTAATTTTTCAGCGAATTTTGTTCGCATCCTAACCTAGGGCTTCTAAAAATTTCAAAGAGAAATATTCGTAACATTTCTTATAAATTGACATTTTATCTAAGGATATTTTGCAACTCTCAGATGTTCTTACGACGTTTCTCCTTAACGGGTAAATTACATCCTACACGCGGTCTGATACACTGGTCAAAATTCTGGAGTGAAATTAAGTGCGCCGGATTACACAAAGCGCCTGAAATCCTCCAGTGATACGAATGTGGAGTAGAATCTGTTAAGGAGTTTGGAGGACAAGGCGCATAAGTGCGGTTTTTGAAAAAATTGAGATCTTAATGATTTCAAGTGAAACTAGTCTTAGTACATCGACGGTGTATGTCGGCAATCACATAACTCAATTTGCGAGGTCGCAGACTTCCTATCATACTTTATTTTTTAAACGGTAAACTACTCAACGGCCATTCTTTAAAACTGCTGTGATTTTTCTTCTCTATGCGGAGAAAATTCTGCAAAAACTTCAAGGAATGATGTCAATTTGTTTTCCTTTAAAAAAAGAACATATAGGTGGAGATTTTCAGACACCGCAAAAAAGGTATGTGATTGCAGACCTACACCGTCGACATATTCTGTGAAAAATTCGCTCCCAAATTCCAAATTAACATCAAATAGTCAGTTTGACATTTCTTTCCGCCGTAAGGAGGCATGTAATTTCGGAACTTCGAACACGTGTATCTCGAAATAGCAAAAACTGCACCTATGCGCCTTGTCCTCCAAGCCTCTCTATTCTCATTACAGAAGTGACTTACATTATTACGGAGCGGAATCTACTATTTTTTCATACGCTTTCAAGGTGCTGATTTCACCTTGCAGTCATAAAACTCGGGTGTTTCGGGCGTTATAATATAGACTGCGGCACCGATTTTTTTCCTTGACTTCTAACAGGGTACTTTCAAGAATATTGCGTCAAAATTTAAAGCCCTGATCTACTCTGTTAATGATGTTATAGGCGTGTGAAAGAGATCGTTTTTGAAGAAAGCAACAGCATGGAGACACTTCATCTGCGTTGTTCTATGCAGTCCATCGTTCTTTAGACTTTGAAATGCTCTTAAATGGCTTCTTGAAGTTTTTGAGTGATTTTCGAACCTCCTGATGCAGAATTTACTTTTCTGAGCTGAAGTGAAAAACGTATCTCAGTTAATTTTTTTTACATCTTAAAGACGTGACTCCATTACAGCTAGTTTGCCATGCGCGGTTTAACTCATTTCTACGCCAATGCAAGGTGTGAAGTTGCAACTTGGACCCAACTTGGGACACTTCAAAGGTCCAAGTTGGGACAGATGCGCTAACTTCAATGATCTTTATGTAAATGCACCGCCTTTAGTGGAAATTGAGCATTTTCGAGTTACCGAGTTGGTGCGTTTTCGTTCTCACTGATTCAACTATGCACGGATGTCGTCAAAAACACATGTTTTATCAAAGAAAAGTTGAGAACTCTCGAATGTTCATACGGCGTTTTTCTTTAGCACGGCAGCATTCCCCCCCCCCCAAGAGATGGAAAGTGAAATTTCACGAAGCTCGAATAAATTTCACAAAAGTTGAAATATATTAATTATTTTTAGAAATATTGATTGAACCTTTGAAGGTCTGAAAGCGTTTCAGATGGTCTTTCTGTTGATGCTGCGGTGTTATGCTACTCTACTGAAGGTGCCAGACACAAAGAGGGGGCAAAAAAGGGAGTTTAGAGAGAAAAACCCCAACCTAACCTCTAAACTGAACGAAAATATTTGCAACGCGCGAATGTTTTAGGCTTGGGGTAAAAAATTTCAAAATTTAGAATCACTGTTTCTAGGCGTTTCTTAGCCTCCGGAATGTATCCCCAGAAGTTTCAATACATTTCATGAAATTTCATGAAATTTCGTGAAATTTCCTCCAAAAAGATAGGCGTTCCCTCAAAATCTGGCAAACGGGCGCGAATGCAAGGCACTCCAAATAACAATGACAGCGGGAAACTCTCGTTATTTTCCCGAACTCTCAAAACGGAGCGAAACGCTGCGCCGCGACCGGGGCAGAGCCGCTGCACCGAACTAAAACCGCCTAAGTGCCGCGGAAGATCGGGAGATTTCCGCGGTTTTAGCTCCGGGGTGGGAGGAGACTCACAATGAGCTCGTATTTCAAAACGCGGCGAGAAAATCCCCGACTTTAATTGCGAAGTTATATTTTTAGTCACGCGGGTTTCGCGCGCCTCGGAAATCGAGATATCCCAGATTTCCAGAAACGCCGCCGTCTCACCGTCTGCTAGACTCAGATCCTTTCACTCTAATAATAATTGATGGTTTCCCAGGCGGAAGGGTCACGGAGTTCCCCTCGGGGAGTGAGCATTTCCAGTAATTTTTCTATTTCACTTGATTTACGGCCCTCAAGATGACGCCGCCGCAACTTTTCTGCACATAATGAATAAAGCTCCCGAGTTGAGAACTATCGTGGCTTTTTAATGAGCTTTTATTGTTCCGATTCCCGGGAATATATAGTCCTTTGTGGGGCTGTAAAATATTTTGCGTCAACTTTGGTGAGAGGGTCCTGTGACTAGCGAGTACCTACCGGTGAAATATTTATTTTTGAGGGAAGTTATGGGTATTTTGATCTGAAATTGTTATAATTAAAGTCAGAATGAAATAATTTTAAAATTGCCAGACAAACACTCACTAATTTCCCTGAAATTCATAATTTATCAAGGAAAATTTGACAGCATTTAAGGGTTTGAACGGCGTTCTCACTTAGGACGGCAGAGTGATTGTTTTAATGAGATTACTCAAGTAAGATAAATTCACATATTTTTCCTTATTTGTTTCCACTTTTCCATCAGTAACAAGTTGTGTCGAACCATTTGCGCTACCCATAGATCCATCTTGTGATTGTTGAAGCTTACGGATCAGAAAAGTAATCATACATTTGCTGTAAGGCGAGTTCTAACGTCCAATATTAACGAAAATATCACGCTTCTGACAGAAGTGCAACGTGCGTATTTGATTCTTGGGTTTGATCAGATTAAAACACAAGTGTAGCATTAAAAATTAAAAATACATGAGAATATAGTACAGGAAAATTGTTTCAATGTATCCCATTCCGTACATTTCCGTACAGCATCGATGACCAAAGTGCGAAACCACGTATCTCAATTTCCGACGTTGCAGACTTCTACTTTGTTTTTTCTTTGGGAAACTAGTAAATTTGATTATTTTAAAACATCCGTGATTTCCCTTGTCTGTGAGGAGAGCATCCTGCATAGATTTCAGACTATAAAGATGGCTTGTTTCTCTTCGAAAACATAACATAGCATCGGATATTTTGAAACACCACAACGAAGATACGTGGTTTCCCACTTTAGCCATCGATATTCTACCTGATCCGAGAGAAGGAAATTTTATCGGCCTATCCAGAAGTGCAGAGGGGTTTCAGCGCTTCAGCTTTTTCCATCAATTACACAGTCACGCGCTACTGTAACTGGTCCAATCGATCCGGAAAGATTAGGGCCCTATATTGAGAAAATCCTTTCTTTAAATTTAAATCTACCGTGTTTGGTGTTTAAAATTTTTAGACTAAATTGCAACTTCACACCTTGCATTGGCGTAGGAATGAGTTAAACCGCGCATGGCAAACTAGCTGTAATGGAGTCACGCCTTTAAGATGTCAAAAAAAAATTAACTGGGATATGTTTTTCACTTCAGCTCAGAAAAGTAGGTTCTGCATCAGGAGGTTCGAAAATCACTCAAAAACTTCAAGAAGCCCTTTAAGAGCATTTTAAAAAGTCTAAAGAACGATGGGCTGTACAGAACAACACAGATGAAGTTTCAAAACTTCCCTTTGTTTGAATTACTTTCCATGTCAGATTTTAAAGAGAAAATACGTGACGTTTTTAGAACTTATCCAGTGGCCCGTTGGGAAAAAAGGAACAAGAAAATAATTATAAGCGGAAATTGCAATGGCACGAACGGAGATATGAATTTTTCGAGTTAGGTCACTGAATTATTTTAGATAGGAAATTCCTCATAGTGATCGTGGGTATAGGATTCGGACTCTCATTCCAAGTTAGTTCATGTTTTAAAATCCCTTGACAGATCTTATTTCGAGGAAAAATCGTTCCTTTAGGTCTAAAAATGAAAGTCTGAGATTTTTCTCTTTGACACTAGAGTTAAATCATAATTGTACTCAAAAAGTGATGAATTTTAATAGCTGTCATCTAGATTTATGTCGAAGAATATAGAAAAATTCGCGCCAAGAACTAACAGAGATAGCAAGGAGCGTTTTCGGTCAGTATCGCGGTCACAGACGTGATGTTTCTTGATGAAACCC